TATAGCCTCGTTATCTTCAAGATTTTTTTTCCCTTTTTGGTGAGCACGGCTCTCATTCTGAAAAGTTAAAGTCAGAATCATAGCTGGTGACTGGAAACGTTATGTTTTAGCGCGGACCCCGAAGGCCTGTTAGAGGTTACCTTACTGCTTCAAATCTTACAGCCGGACTGCCTCCACTCGCGTTTGGAGGGATGCATGATAAAAAGTGAAAATGTTCCACCAAAGTGAAATATCGCTGTAAGTGGGAGTGTCTGGGTTGCTGTGGGGGAACGTTAGAGGAAGTGGTAATGATGACAGCTCTAACTCAGTGCAGGTGCAGTAAAGCATGGCAGGTTGGTCAATTGCCCAGAACCCATTACTTCTCCCCCTGAGACCAACCTTGTAATGTGCTAGGTAACTTCTGTAAAGGATTGACCCACTGTCAACAGAGAAATCTCTGTTTTACATAAAGACACAAGTGTACCTCACAAGGTTACACAGGCGGGTTAAGAGTGTGTTGGATACTGGAGTGTGCTGTTTGCGAACAAATACTGAAATACCGGTTTGCTTTACCATCAAACAAGTGGAAGACTTTCTTTGTGCAGAGAACAATAGAGTATTATAGCTGTCTGCAACGTATGCTCTGTCTGCATTTTATGGTTGGTCTTGTTGGACGGGTTTAACATTGGCCGGTTGTGGGAGACACTTTGCATTTTATAAGCACACAGCACAATGCAGTGAATGTAAAATTCATGATATTGTTTCTCTCTCTGTGCCTTTACAGGAGCTCTAAACATTTGTGACACTGCTGGAGATGGGAATAGGATGACCTTGGGTGCCAGATACATCTCTGTTCCTGTGTCATCTTCAGACAGCCACTGTTTGACCACTATCTACCAGATGCATTCCATCCGACACTTGTAACAATAGTGTAAATGGGACGAAAATTGAGCTCACCTTAAAGGCGGACTTCAGTCCTCTTGAAGGCTGAAAGCCCTGGATGAGTCCAGTGCCCAGTGGCAGCTCAGAGTCCTTGTTTTGCTCCCTGAGACGTGTGTAATCAGAGAGAAAGTCCAGCACAGATTACAGTCTTCAATCAGTCAGGGAGGAAAATGATATGTACATCATTGTCTCTGCCGCACATCCCAGGCACTGTCAGCCTGCATGCATATTACCTGTGTCAAAGCTGCCAGGGACATGACGAGAGAAACTGAGAGCCATCACGGAGCCGCCACTCAGGGGGGTGTCGAGTCTCCGAGCACAGCAGCCAGATTCAGTCTCCATGGGGACTCTACTCTGACCTCCAGGATGTTGTTGACACCATTTAATGTACATTTTCAGATACAAAACGTCTCCTTTCATATCTGAAATCGTTTTCAATGGGCTGAATAACACTGAAGGCCAGCTCTTGTCACCAAAAGAGAATACTGAGCGTGCGCTCGCAGTTTATCCTCGATTCAAGTCCAAGGAAGTTGAAAGCCGTTGTCACATTTGACCTTGAGGTGCACAATAAAGACAAAGAGTTATTTCGTATGGTGGGAAAAACTATACGACTGCTGTGAGGAATGGCTAAAAATCATCCCTCCTAATCTTCTCATAGATCTCAACATCATCTTATGCAATTGTCTCCTCACTAAAAACAGACACACGCTGCGTACAAGTACAAAGAACAACATAATGTAGAAAATTTGATGGAGGTGTCTCATTGTTGTCGATTCAATTTTCACAGTCGGATCTGGGGAAAAAAACATACATACAGTAAATGCAAGCCAGCAGGAGAGAGAGATTTTACAATAAAGACAGCAAAGATTGATCAAATCTGAATTCCACCCTCCTGAAATAGAGCATAGTCAGACCATAATTTCCCTGAAACAAGAGTGTTTAATTTGAAGCTGTGAATGGCACCTCTGCACAGAGAAGGATGATGGAAGATGATTTGCAGCCGCACTGACACACACATGCCATACTTTTATACCCAGTGGACGTCTTTAAATTTAAACATCCACCCTGACGCCGTCAATAATTGGCAAAAAATACATGAAAAGCCAAACCCGCGAGCCTGCGACTTCTGTCTGTGCTTCAGGTTTGCATAATAGCCCCCCTGTCCCTCACCAGGTATCTGTTCACCTTGAGAAGTCCACACCTAAACGCAATGTCAACACGAGCACTTTCTAGCTCGACGATTCTGTTTGTCCTGCTGGGGCTCCAGAGGGAGGTCACCAAATTGTCTCTGGAATCAAAAAAATAAATAAAAAAAGGCGCTGACCTTCTGCTAAATTGGCCACACTCAGTAGACAGGGAATATCAGGTTATTGAGTTGATCCATGCTGTGTTTCCCTGCCTGGGGAAAATGATCTGCGCTATTGTCTGCCTTCTACAGTTGATCAAGGGCAAGAATGTGTCAGGAATGTAGAAACACGGGACACTTTTTTTTTTTTTTTTAAACGTCATTTCAAATGTCCTAATGGTGAAGGAGAAAAACACCATTAGTATCCTGCTGTAAACAAAATCTTAAGCAGGATGGTGAGTGCTTTTTACTTATGACGAGACTTGCGGTTCATATCTGAGAGGAAATTAAATGAAGGCTTTATGCTCTTAATTCTGTGTTTCACAGAGGAGACATATTGTAAATGAATGCAGCTGCAGAACCCCAACAATTCATTGCACTGTACTTTCAAGTTGTTGATTCCTTGAGAAAGGCAAATAATAGTCACTTTGCAAAATTGCAGGCCTATCCTTCAACAACTGGGGGAAACAGTTAAAATTGGGCAGGGATAGGGAAGAAGCAGCCCTCTCGCTGAAGTATTTTGTATATTTGGGACAGTATAATGAAAGAAGTCATTTCTGCCAACAGTTCACATTACCTCCCAATGGTTAAGAACCATAATCCCAATAGCATTTTGAATTCTATCACACATACAGTTGGAAATGTTATTGCATGATTACAGTGTTTCTCTCCCTCTGCATAGTTATTGTATTTATGCATTTTTGCACATGAATTGGAGAAGTTGAGCACCGTGCACAATTGCACCGCTATTCAAAAACGAGCCCGAAGAACCAAAGCTATTTGCTGCAATAAAAACACACAAACTACTTGTAGTGTAAACACTGTTTTTCTGTCACAAAAACACAATGCCGAAGGCGCATTATTGAAAAAGCTTTTCTTTTTACTCTCCAAAATAAGACTCGAGTTGAATTGTGTTTCGCTCCTCTTTGGGCAAAATTCCCTCCAAATAATGTTCAAACTTCACCGGCAACAATGAGGAGCTAAGTGTGCGCAGTAAAGACATGTTTGCCTCAACAAATCGAAGCTTTACTCCTGCATCAGTGTTGGTTTTTAAATTTAGTAACTATACACTGAATCTACCTCTCCAGATTTATTAACTGGACTAAAATCTGTTCTCTGACACACATGTAAGCACGCTTAAAGAGGAGCTACAACAGTTTGTTGACAAAGTTGGCCTTCAATCTAAAGTGGTCAGTAGAAATCACAGTGTGGACAGTGTCAGGCTCAGCAGCCAGCCAATCTCTCTCCTTTCCTTCAACCTGCCGAGCTGCCGTGGAGGATCGCCCACTGATGGCAGCTTTTATCTGCAACGGCCAGAGGAACCATGCCTCTTCCTGTTACAATGCCACGGCACTTTGTCCAGCAAGACAAAGTTATCCTGGCTCAGGTACTGGACGATCGCCCTCCGTTTCTCAATACATTTCCAACTGTGGGTGTGATTTGCATCATAAAAGCTGAAGGCAGACCATACACAACCTCTGGAGGTAAACAATATTTGAGCACAGAGTATAAATCCCTTCCTAAAATTGCAGAAATATTCCTGAGCCTCCCATCTAAGAAAAAATTCATTCATTTCAACTGGAAAAACCACGATTCTCGACGCAGATTGTCCCAGAGGTCTGTGTATCATAGATTCATTCCTGCAGGGGAGCAAAGATTATTACAATATTCAGATTACCGAGCAGGGGAAATTAATTGGACTAATTAACATACAAGTAAATGATGATACCGTTAACACATTTCATTAACTCAAACTGTCATTCTATGTTCCTGGTGCACTTGGTATTGCATTACAATGAATTGGATTCATTAAATTATGCAAATGAAAGGAACGACAAAACGGACGAGTCCTTTTTAACGCTATAGACCATATTTTCTGACTCGTTTTCAGCAAATTGACTAAGACTCAGAAAGCATGTGCTTTCCACTCTGATTTACCAGATAAAGCTTTTCATAGAGTACCATTTCAATTATGTTCACAGGCACTAAAAACCAGGTAGGCTATAATACATTTTTAACTCCCTTATGCTGCCGTCTTGAGCTTAATATTAAAGAAAAAATAGCAACAGTACCTAATTAGTAAAATGTCCCATTTAGTGTAAGAGGCACAGATAGTGATGCAACATGTGTGTGCTGCTGTGGCAAGGTAATATCAGGTTATATATCAAAATATTAAGGAACAGCTCTGGCAAATAATAGTTACAGGAAACTGTGTGCACACTTTAAAGTTGGAAACAAAACAGAGCAGGTTATTTAAATGGATTTCCTGATAATTCACTCAAATACACATGAATCTAGGTCATAAAACCCGAAGCAGTTACCTCTCAGGCGTCTGCGCTCAAAGTCATGAGACAGTACTTCGTTCCCCAGCAGCAGAATATGATCCTGACATTTCTGTGTGACATTAGCTTGTGGTTAATTGAAGGTTCACACCTCCTGTTGGCCTCGGTGACTTCTGTCTTTATCTTAGCAGCGCTACATGGGGAAGGTCAGGGGGTCAAACATACCTCTCGTCCTGCTCCCTTGGCTGTAGTGACATCTACTGGACTACTAACCCAGAGTGTGAGCCGTGGGGGGAGGATGAACCTCCTGGCTGGGTGACAAGTCTTCGGAAAAACACAAAACAAAAGGTTTCAAGTGTATGGAAAAAACTTGTCATAAAACTTAATGTCTCTAGTATGAGATATCACTGTACAACCTTTGTACATGAAAACAGAAAAAAATAAAGCAAAAATGAAATTCAAGTGTAACAGAAAAGTTTATATTGATGTTATATTGACATATTTATACAGAAGATTTATGAGTGATGACAAACCTTCAGTGTTTAGTACATAATATAAAGATGCTGTTCGAACGGGGGTAAAGTATAATCTCCTGAAGACGACAACGCGTCCATGTGGGCAAAAATGATCACATCACATAATTTTCATTATGTCACAAAAAGAAATCCAATCAAATATGCCACCATAAATCACTGATCGGTGTGTATTCAATTTAACAATTCAACAGTTAGGGGAGGAAGTGGGCTCAGAGACAAAATAAAAAATTCAACATGGAACGGGAAATGCAACGTACAGCAAAAGAAGAAGTATCAACACAAAGACAGAAACATTGTACATTTACTGACAATGAATATAAAGAACAGCTTCTTGGGAAGTATACAAAACATTTTTTTATACAAAAGGATTAACAACAACATGAAAGTGATGAGGATAGTGCTGTTAAAAAGAGTACCGCTTTCAGTAATGTTTCCAACTGCATGATGGAGCAAGATACTGGCGAGAATTCTGCAAAGCTGTTTCTATAACATGAACGGGGGGGTCGTCCTTCCCGAAAGAACGGTAGAATTCAAAAAGCATTGGTAACATGGTGACAGCTTAATTCACCTCAGCTTTTGGTCCATCATCAAATAACATTTCTTCACAACATCCCCACCATGGCCTGGGAAGCTACAGGGGTGATTTACTCTAATTATATCACACAGTCACAAGTCACCCTGAGTTTGAAGTCAAATTTGGCAATTACCTCCAAAAAGAAATGGCTTTTTCTTCTTCATATTACAATGCATGGTTTTTGAAGTCCTCCAAAAAGGTTTTTTTTTCTTTTTACAAAAACACATTTAAAGTACATACAATGGAGCCATTTGAAATATTTTGGACTTTTAATATCACAAATGCATTGTCTATGTAAAGCCCAAATATAAATAGCTGTTCAGTCAAAATATTTAATAAGCAAATCATGTGTATCATATCAACAGTATATGTTCAAGAGGAATTACATTACAAAATTCTGATTGTTTTGATTTTCGCCTGCAGAATGTAGCAGGGGTGAGCAAAAACTGAAGGAAGGAGGGCAAACAGACGCATGTTATTAAAAAATAAAACAAACATAATATGAGTAAATTTGCATGGACGTAAGCAGTAACATTACTTCAGCTGGATAAAATTAGCTCTGTTTGATTTAGTCTTTGCTCAAAGGATGGAACAAACTTTGTTTACCAAGGACATCAGAAGAATATACCATCCAAAAAAACAAAACAAAACAAAAAAAAAGGCGAGGAGAAAATTGCTCAACTTACCAATATTGTTTGTGAAAAACATATTAACAAAAAAAAAAAAAAAAAACGAAGAAGAAGAAGATTAAAAACAAAATGGCATTCTACATTTCCAACAACACAGTATTGTACAAAATAAGGCATTTCCTTGTGTGTTTACTGCAACGTCTTTTTCCACCTTTATCTTCTTTTAGTCTCCACTACTAGCTTCCTCTCAGTAAAAACCGAGCATGGACATGGACTGACTATTTCTGTGTTAAAATATATATATATTTATAATTTTAGTTTTCTTCAAAACTCGGATAAAAATGCAGGTAGGAGTATACAGTATGAGAGAGGTTGCAGAAGTTCATAAGTGGAGTGTAAATCACTCCATGACTTCGCTGGCCGCGACCGTGGTGACGAGCTGGAGAGGGATCTCTGCGTTGGCCAGGATGTCCTGGGCGTTGCTGGAACCCTGCTGGATGTTGGTGAGGATGAGGGTGGTCCCGCCTGCCGTGGTGATGATACTGTCTGAGGACCCCGCGGATTCCATCGAGGCCACCACAGCGCTGCCAGAGTTCACGCCTTTTTTGTTCTGATGAGTTTTAATGTGCTTCGCCAGGTGGTCGCTCCGCATGAAGCGCTTGGAACATTCGGGGCAGACAAACTTCTTCTCTCCTGCCAGACAGAAAATATAGTTTGAAAGATAAAGAGTTGGATGCTGAATACATTTGGTCAAACGTGGCATCTATCTGGAGGGTATATATCATAGGTGAGGGGATAAGTTCTAAGTTTTTAGAAAGTGGCAAACCAAGTTCAATTTGCTTGTTTCATGAATAAAATGAACAGCAGACATGTCACCAGTGTCTAAATTCTTTTTAAATACATATTTATTGTGTTTCAAGTTGCTCCACTCCAACCTGTCACTGATTAAACTGACATATAAATTAAAGACAAATTTATACTAAATGACTGACGACAATTATCACAATTACAAATCTATAATTATTGAATATCTAATTGCAAAGTTAACTGTGTGAACACTGACTCTTAAAGCTACAGTTTTTAAGTTTTAAAAAATATTTTTTGTGTCGTATTTCCGGTAACGTTCACTACATCCACACAGTGCTGCATGAGACGAATGATCTGTGAAACAAATCATGTCCTTTCTCTTCCTCATACTGCTTCTAATGGCATTTACTAGAATCTACTGCAGCTAAACGAAAACAACCAATGAGAACTGAGGAGTCTCTAAGGCAGCCATCAATCGTGTCAATCACTGATCGTGAACTGTGGTCAAACTATAAAACTAGACAGCGCTGATCAAATATGAATCAGGATTCTGTTACTGCATTGTCTATTTCTCATCTCAAATGTTTTCAGAAACATATTTTAGTGTACTGTTTAATGTAACTGTAAAATCAGACTCAACTGTTTCCAACATGGCAGCTGGGTCACTAACATTCTCATTTTACAGCTAAACTGTACACTTAATATGTTTCGGAAAACATTTGAGGCGAGAAACAGGCAATGCAGTAGCAGAATCTTGATTCACATTTGATCAGCGCTGCCTAGTTTGACAGTCTGACCACAGTTCCCCAACAGTAACTGACATAACTGACAGCTGCGTGGGAGACTCCCCAGCTCTGATTGGTTGTTTTCATTTACATGCGGTGGATTCTAATGCCATTAGAAGCGCTGCGAGGTGGAGGAGCAACATGTTTCTTTCACAAATATCTGTCTCATTTACTACTGTGGATATAGTGACAGTTTCAGCAAATATGACAACAAAATATTTTACCGACAGCTTTAATGTCTGAACTTAAAGCTAATAATGTACTGAAATGTGTCTTTGGCCCGTACTGTCACAGGTCTCACTCGGCCAGTTCTGCCAGTGTAAAGCTATTTTATCTCCTTCAAAAGTCTATCCTGGCAGTTAATGTCATCACATGCTGTGTGTCATTATGCTGTGCTTGTATATTTGACTGGATTGCTCACAGGATACTACTTCCTATGTTTCACCCCATGACAACAGATGGCAACTGCAGGGACATAATCTATGACATGAAAGAGATTAGGTGATTAGGTGTTCAGATTGAAAGGAGAATCATAGGATGAAAATAAAACCAAAATCTACAGCTCTCTACTGGGATCTCTTGTAACATTTTTGTTACATAATCCGATGTCAACGGATCCTGCAAATTAGACTGCAGAACAAACCGTTTAAACCCCATTCTGAACTGGAAAATTACCACCAAGTCTGTGAAATCTGGGTATGTTTTTCACAATGGCCCTCAATCCTAACCTGACATTTTACATGTAAATCCAAAGGGGGGCAAACGCTGTTATTTTTTACATGACTCACACTTTGCAGGGCACAAATTAACACATTTTACTGATGTTTTCCTGATGTGCAAACACCGAGGGAGCAAAAAAAAGGGCACCTGTGTGTGTTCTCCTGTGTCTCTGCAGCTCGTCACTGCGTGTGAACCTCTTCCCACAGAACATCCAGCTGCAAACAAAAGGTCGCTCCCCTGAATGCCAGCGCAGGTGTGCTCGCAGGTGCGATGTCTTTCCATATACCTTCCCACAGCCGGCAATGTGGCAGATGTGCTGCTTCTTCTTCCCCGTGCTGGATCCTCTGAGAAACACAGGTATGAGCAGTTAGAGTCCTGACTCGTTCATTTCCTATGCAGAGCTGTGTAGAGTATGAAGTCAGGCTTACTCACCTCCCACCTGACTCTTTACAGTTGGGGCAAGTACAAGCCACTCTGCGCAGCCTCTTGCCCTCTTGACCCAGCTGATCCTCCTCATCCACCAGCCTGACACGGAGGTGGGACAGATCGCTTGTGTTCAGGGTGGAGTCGGTGCTCAGCTGCCAGTCCCCAGAGTCTGGCTCTTCTTTTATCCGAATGTCTGGAATTAATGTGTACATTAACATCAAGCTGTGTAAACTTATCAAAAAGCCTGCACAGTGAGAGCTGCTTTATTAGCGCGTGTGACTGACAATGTGGCAGCGAATTTCACAAGTAAAACTCCATTTTAAGCACAGTGATAAAATAATTAGTTGATTGACAGAAAATGTATCAATGACAATTTTGATAATTAATTAAACATACCCTGTGGACTTTTTAGCTCAAATGAGTGTCAGAAAATGGATGGAGGGACTTTGCAACAGAGACTTCATCACAATGTTTTGATCGCTATAATTACATAGAAATTCAACACAAAGGGGCTTTAAGGACACACACAATGTATCTTGGTGAGACACTGAATGTAAATGAAAACTCCAACTGTATAGATACATTATTTAACCAAAAAATGCCAAACCTTTCCTACACAAAGCTTTTAAATGTGAGGTTTCTTTGTATTTTCTCAGTTTCATGTAATAGTATAATTCATAGACTAAAATAGAGACCATTTCACAGCAGACATTTTGACTTGTTATAGTGGGAAAAGCACAGGTGTTACCTTTCTCTTAAAAGGTATACTATGCAGGAGTTGCTAGCTACTGTTTGCAAACAGTATCGGCAGGAAAGGTAAAAGCCAACCACTTGGTGTCTCGTCTCACTATATTTGCATTTTTTTTTAGCGCTATGCTGGTGAGTTTCCTCTTGGCTTTCTTTTTGTGTGCAGTGCCCAGGAAAATCCCGCACACAGAAAATCAAATAAGCAAATCCAAGCAAAGGGCAGAGTCTATGCGGGGGGGGGGGGGATCCTGCACAGTATAGCTTTAAGTGTCCCAATAAGCCATGACAGTGTCACAGCAAGCCAGCATGCACATTATCAGGACTGTAAAACTAAAGCAGCGAAATGGAATGCAACCATCATTTAGTTTGCGAATTACACCTGTGCTTTTCTTGTCGTGACACTGCAAAATGCCTTCAGTGAAAAATAGCCTATTGACTGATTTAGTGGGTTAAAAAAAGATTTGTTAACAATAAAAATATCATCAGTTAGTACAACATAAGGCCGGGCGATATGGAGAAAATCAATGACCACAACATTTTCGACCAAACAATATTGTGGGGTTGACTATCGGTGCTTTCACAATGGTATTTATGATAAATAATTATCAGTAATATGAATATAATGACAAAGGCAAATGACAAACAGTTTGAACAGTCTGGTAAGTTAAGAAAATTACATCAGTTTACTGTGATGCCAGGAAAAGCCAACACTTACGATATCCAAAATCTAAGACAAAATCTAATCTCATATCATGATATCGATATAATATCGATACACTGCCCTGCCTTACTACATCAGTACAGATGATTTTACACAGACAGCACTTTGGATTGTCTGCTCTGAGCACCACAAACAAACGTGCATCACCTTTATTGTATTAGTGTAACAAATGCAGTTATTAAGTACAAAATGGCATTTTAAAGTAATTTGCTTAAGATGGACCCTTTTTAAAAATGTCAAAGAGGATTTAAAAATAAAAACAACAAAATAAAGATGAAGTATACACGTACATTGTTAATAAAAAGAGGGAACAGTACCTCCAGGGTTGTCTGTGTCTCCTTCATGTTGGGCCATTGTGTTCACCGTCACTGTCTGCAGGTTGGGGATCTGTCCCGTGCTGATGCTGACCGGACTGGACCCCAGTGACAGGGTCTGGACTGGAGCCAGGGTTATCTGCTGGGGTGGTGTTGTGGGCAGTTGGAGGTTCTGCAGGTTCTGCACCCCCTGTACCTGAAAGGTCTGCCACTGTATCTGACCCGACGGCGTGACCGTCTGGGCTTGGATGATGAAGGTTCCCGGATTGATCAGCTGCACGTTCTGCAGGTTCTGCCCACCTGTCGCCACGGACTGCACCACCTGACCGTTGGTGGTCTGAATGGGTACCTGCTGCAGCTGTATGATGGGCTGAGCTGAGGACACCTGGACGCTCTGCTCCTGATTCTGCTGGATGAAGCCCTCCTGGAGACCAGAACTTGAGTCGGCTTGCTCTGTAGCCACTGATGACAATGAAGTGTCTTGTGTCAGCAGACCTGATTCGCTCACTGGAATGTGTAGCTGAGAGGAAGACGTTGGCACATATATCTCATGATTTGCATTTGAGTCATTTATGGGTAGTGTCTGTGAGAGGTGATTATCTGTCTTCGCCAGACTCTCTGAGCCATCTACGGGCTGACTCGTCATAATTAGCTGGCCATCAGCAGTGACCCCTGTTGCTATAGTCTGAGCACCAGAGAGGCCAAGGGAGTCCAAGTCCACACTGTTAATAGGAACAAAAGTAATGTTCCCAGGCAAACCCACAGGCACATTAGTAACAACCTGACCCTGGTTGTTGAAGGTGGAGCTGCCAAGAGAAACCCCCTGGAGCTGCTGGACATTACCAGTCTGTGATATGAGGTTCTGGTTGTTATTAAGGATGTTTGCAGCTGATGTTACACTGAGACTCTGGCTACCGTCAGGCAAGATTTGAATCTGCCCTGTGGCATCCTGAGTCAGAGTCGCTCCTTCCACGCCGGAAGTGGAGAAGCTCAGCTGTCCATCTGCTGTCTGAATCTGAGGAATTACTTGGTACTGAATGTTAGGCACTGAATTGGCAGAGGAGGCGTCCGTTCCCGACGTCACAAAGATTGGCTGACTCTGTAAGTTCTGGATAGGAAGAACATACTGCCCGTTGGATGTTAATATTCCTTGACTTTGGATCTGTATCATTCCAGATTCATCCTTTGCTGCTGTTGTGGGGGTTAACACCTCCCATTTATCAGTCCCAGTAAGCTGCACGGATGGATCTGAAGTCTGAGAAAAGAAATGTCTGACATTAGAAAAATTATAGGCACCTGTACTTAATTATCTTAAGCTTGCAAAGCACAAAAGTCTACTTATAACTTGCTCTTTCAAATGTACAGGAAAATGATGTTCTAGACTTTGTACACAGCCCAATATTTCCAAGAAAAAAACTGTCATAGCAGTTCACACAATCAGCGACAGGAACATGAGTGGGCAGAGGGCAAAATGAGCAAAATTCTTTGAGTTGATCAAAGTTGAGTGGGCAAGAAATGTAAGTTTTGTTTCGTGTGTACATTCCTGTTCTTAGTAACACATAATCAATGGATCTATTCCCACCTTAGCTGAAATATTATGAATCACGACAAATCTGCAGCTGTCTATGACAATGTCAGTAACCTGCCATCCTGCATCATCAGTGCTACACTGACCCATAAAGGAATTCATTTAATTCCTGCTATACCTAACTGTGCTTTAAGATTTATTTATAGTGCTCCATGTTCAGGCTGTCTTGATGCAGTTGTCCACAGCATTCTTGTCAGACAAAATTAACCTGAGCAAATACACCAGAGTCTGTGTCGACTGTATCAAACTTTGCTGTGCCAACACAGCCTGACAGAAACCTCACAGTGTTCTGCTTTGGGTTGCTATCACAGCTGTATTTAAATGTTATTGTAATCTAAACTTAAGTGCTTGCGCAGCTGATTTAAAGTAAAAACACTGCATTGGATTGGTAGATTAAATAAATTGAACCACAATACAGCACAATTTCTCTTAAAAAATGCCAGAAGAATATATGAAAGCGCATTTTCTTTCTTCCACCAGAGCCTGAATGTCATCCAAGCTCACACTGCAATCTTATTCTTCCAGAGTAAAATACAATTACGCAACATGAACAACTATATGCGTCATTTCATTCGCATTTTTTCATGATGACTAAAACTTATTACCAGTGAAATACTGTTTTATGAATTACAAATTTAGCAACTACAGCTTATTGGCAAAACTGTTGTATATCATAAAGTATGTGTTAAAATAAGTATCCCAATAATGGTCTGAGGAACATCACGGGATAACAAGACCTTTAAAAATCATGATTCAGCTGGCTCTTTGTGCACCAACTAAAACATATAGCAGCGCAGCGCAGTTGCTGATAAACAATCTCATCAGTAAGCGCAAATGTAAAACCAAATGTAACTACAGAAACAGTCACACTATATCTTGAGCCACAGCAAGTCACTTAAGAGCTTAATTTTCCCTGATGCACTTGTGGTTGATGCTGCTGTTTTATCAGAGCATACTGCAGATTAGGCTTCAAGCATAAAAATCAGCTGCCAGCTGCATAAACTACATGAAATCTAGAAGGTCTATTTCCACTGTACTTCTGGTGATGACTGTATTTGCATTAAATACGTTACATATAGGGGCGACAGGGTTGAGCTCCAGTGAATGTGGTCACATTAGTCAGATGGATTTGGATGCCCTTCCTGAGACAGTTTCAGTATCTGAACTGCAACAGCTATAGCAATGAGATACCCTCCTGTTTCTATGCCAAAAAGCAGCGGCTATAATTCTATGAAAGCAAGTGCAAGCTTAGCTACACTCCCACCACCAATTTTGCTCAGCTGTGACTGAAGGCTTCACATCTGCTGCAGCTCTGTCGGATCTAGCAGAGGTGCTGACTTACCACACCAGCAGCAGCAGCACCTCTGTCCACCTCTGCCGACGGTGACCCAACCTTAGTGCAGGTGGTTGCTAGCAGGTCGAGGGGTAACGGCTGAGTGTCCTTCCCACAACGGGCAAATTTAAAAGGGAGAGAGTGGGTGGCCATTAGTCTGGGCCTTAGAGAGTATGACGTATTGCCAAAGAGCAAAGTCTGACGTGAGAAGGTTAAAGGACTGTCATGTCCTGTGTTGAGCCCCCCAGGCAGCACCTATGATAGCACCCAGGTAATGTGTAGGTCCCACTGGAGTTTCCCAGCCTGTCACTTCACTCCTGGCTAAAGAGGCGGGATCTGTAAGCTGCCTCAGAGGAAGTGTTGCCTGAGAGGTTCAATGAGGGTACATTACCCCCCTCCAAGTTTGAGATGTGTGAACTTCGGTGAGCACCACTCAGTTTCTGGGAACGCAGCATCGACATATAATGAGAATCATAATCCCGAGAGGGAAACCTTACCTGATTGCTCCTGTCTTGCTCCTGCTGCAGAAAGTCGCTCTGACTGCTGTCCACTTCCAAGGCAGCCATATCTTCTGGTTTCAACGGCTGTTCTGGTGCTGTGTAGCAAAAAGCAAATAGCTAAGAGTGTGAAACAGCCGATGCTAACGTTAGCTAAACAAGCCTGGTGCCCACACAACTAGAGGACTAGCTTATATTTCTAACGCCAGAATACTGGTTAGCAATAAAACCACAACCACGGCCACCAACTACACCAAACACCACGAAGAAAACGGCGACGTAACAATGGTTAGTTAGAGGAGAGCTCAGTAGTAATGTGTCCTAAACAAGCTAACACAGCTAGCTAAGCTAACGAGCGCAGCGTTAGCTCCTGATGCTAGCTTAGCCGGCGCTGATTAGCAATATCACCAACAAGCATCCCTGCTAGCCTGCTAGCGAGCTAATTTAGCCAGAGGATGGCTGTTAGCTTACGTGGGTGAAGAATAAGGTAGATATTACATACCAGTCATTACGTGACTTGTCGTGAAACGGAGAGTCGCGATAGTCACAATCCACCGGACATGATCAGCAAATTAAATTGATTGTATACGCGTAGAAATAGGTGATAACTGTCAGAATTTTTTTCTATTTTGATTGACGGGCGGTAGGTAACACAAAGGGTGGGGCCTCCAGTGTTGACTGGGAGTATTTGCGTCACAGACAGGAAATCCCGCCGTCCTTCATAAAGGTGATTGGTTGTTCGTTTTGCACGCGGCGTTATCATTTGTCAGGCGACACGTCAATCATCCTTTGTTGCAGTCTTTTCCTGTTTTTTTTAATGCATGTTCAGTTTTACAGTACTAGTGTTGATGGCAGTGAGGACTGTAGTGACATTGTTTACTGTCAGTTACATTGCTGTTATCAGTGAATTAAATCTCTTCAGATAGATAGCTGCTTGTGTAATGTAGGCCAGGGGTGTCAAACTCATTTTAGTTTATGAGCAACAGGAACTTGATCTCAACTGTGCTGGACCAGTTAAACCATTGTAGAGTAACCTATTAATAACAACTCCCAATGTTTACCTTTCTTTTAGTGTAAAGACCTACAGTCTGAAAGCAGTCATGCTTTTACAAAACAGATGACCAGGCTGAGATTTCTTTAATTTAAACAATATGTCTGTTTTTCCACATTCAGCACATCATGTACTCACATGCATACACTTCCAGTCCTGTGTAGTAATGCATGCATCACCACACTAAACTAAAGAGAAAGCTATTGAAGAAGGAGGTGAAGCTGTCCACTGCCTTACACACCACTTAGTCTAAAAATCAAACGTTTTGGCAGTGCCTTCACAACAGCATTGTTTTGAGATAGAGGTCGGACACATCTGCTGACTCCTCATTTTTTGCACAGTGTTCAGTATCTTTAAATATGATCACAATGAGTCTATTCATTATTTTGTCACAGAGCCATATTGTGGTCAGGGGGCAAAAGCCTTTGAAGCAGCATTTTACATTCACTAGCTACTTGCTCTTTAACTTGCTAATGAAACCTGGCAACTCTTAGGATTCACAGGTGCTTCAATGTACATAGTCATTCACTGGGCCAGATTGGACCCTGTAGTGGGCCAGTTCTTGCCCACAGGAAGTATGTTTAACCCTCGTAACATAATGTAAAATAGCAATCAGAGGCTACATAGATATAAGAAATCAGAATCAGAATCAGAGATACTTTATTGATCCCTGGGGGGAAATTGTTGGCGTTACAGGTGTTCCTTCCAAGAGTAGAAAGATATATTGTATAGTGCAAAAAATATAGCCTATACTGTAGTAACCTATCAAATATACACAGATACAGTGGCAAAAAAAGATAATAAACATAAACAGAATATATACAGTAAAGGTAAAGGTATGTGCTTTGCTTTTTGAACAATAATATGCTGATATTATACAGACTTGTTATTATACATATGTACTGTAATAGGCTATAAGCTGAGAATATAGACAGTTGTGCGATTACACTGCTCGGAAGAATACATGGGATTCATCTTCTGTATTTAACTCATTCTAAGGCGTAATTACTGGTCAAGCAAATGTCCTTTTGCCAGGAGGTCAACCCACCTCTGGCATCATCAATTAAAAGAAAACCTGAGCCCATTTCTTTATGCATCGCTGTCATTTACACAACATATTGCAACTCATATACATCTTTTAAAGACATGTTTGAAAGTATTGCAATATTACTTCAAATGGTCCCAGGATGCTAATGATGGATTGAAGTATTTCCTTTTTTATGTGTGTGTCAGGTGCTGTGACTGAGCATTAAAACATAACACAAGATAGGAGATAAACTGTTTCAGCTGCTTGGCGACACCTGACATCATCCTCCACCTCATTTTGTCATATGGATTGTCTATGTTGTAATCTTATTATATTGGTCTATTACATACACACAGCACCTTTTACACGTCCACCCTGGGCGACAGATCCTTATTCAGTTGCTCTTCCTGAGGTTTCTTCCATTTTTCTCCACATTAAAGGGTTTTTTCGGGCAGTGGGTGTCGTATGCTGTACAGATTGTAAAGCCCCCTGAGGCAAATTGTGATTTGTGATACTGGGATGTATAAATAAAAAGACATGACTCCCCATGTTGATTCCGATGGTCAGGGATCCAAGACTAGTGCTCTCTTTTTCCACAACTTAAAAATCTGTATACCTCACTGCATAGTGCTTATTATAATGATTTGAAAATATGTAGTGTAACATAAAGCATTGGATCACTGTGGCTTTAAAAACTGGGTTGTGGCCTGCTGTGTCTGAATGAATGTAACTCATGGAGAAAACACTGAAATTTACAATGACACTGACAAAGAAACAGTATGTAATTATGTTACATCAAGTCATAGATGGCAGATTAGATCAGTGTATCCATATTTTTAAGTAAACACAACAGATTTACTCTATTTAAGGCACTGCTACACAAAATTCAGACTCTACATTGAATCAGAATGATGTCATTTATCATGGCAGCTTTGCTCTCTCTCTGAAAACTAATAGTGGCACTTTCTTACCTGTGAATAAGACGGTGATCAGCAATTGAGTTTTAAGATGCATGTTTATTATAGGACAGAAAGGAACACAATCGAGACACAATCTGTTTGTATTTGACCAGATTTCTTCCCCTCCATCTGATTGTGCTCAGTACAACATTGTGAAAGTGCATTGAAATGAGAGCCTGCATGCTATTGTACCTGCTCTGCGCCTGCGATGCTATCAGGACCCCACTTCTGAGTATTATTTGTGGTGTGTCAGTTCCTCACAGTGCGCGACCGCAGTGAGGCTATTTCTCTCAACCTTCAATTCAAACTTGGCCCATTACAGCCAGACTACAAAAGCACTTTCCGTGCACTCAGGAGCTCACGGCAGTGAATGGTGGATATTTCCAATCACTCTGCTGTCAATCCAAGTGTCAGGTAAACACAGGCCAATGGAAACAGCTTTAGAAAAACCTTGCAGCTGTGTCTGTCTTACTCCAGGAGTCCTTGGAAACGTATCAACAATTTCTACAAAGACCTCCAAGTTAAAGGGAAAAGTCAAATATCCTAAAAGCAGCTCAGATGCAACACCCCGGTGGACGCAGTGGCCTACGCGAGACATGTAACTGCCATGGTGTTTGTCTTCAGACCTGTGTGTTGTCTCCAGCTCCAGCTGCAAACAAAGGAAATGAGGCTGTATTGACAGACCCCGTGTTCACCTCATGAGAGGAATCTGTGAAGTCTGGAGCAATTACCCAGTGGGAGTTTCTGCACATCTATAAGGAATCAGTGTGATAGATATAACTCTAAATAGCGGCATCAATGACCTCACTGCACAGACCCAGCTTTCCTTAAGTACTGTTGTGGGAAAATGCAATAATATATTATTTTTAACAAATCTTCTCAGCATAAATTGATCAGAAACAGTAATCAAAACTTTATTTTCCTGACACCTCTTCTTCCGGGAGCAGACGTTGTTGTTGTTGTGGCACCATGCAGCAAAGTGAAGGATAAGAGGAGTAACAGAGTCCACAATGGCTCTGGGTATTTCGTATTAACATATTGACAGTTGTTTTCATGAAGGCCAGTCCATGAGAGAGTGACCCCACGGAGAGAAACTGCCCTGCTGGAGGCATCTCATGGGACACTGTAAATGGGACCTGTGAGAGAGAATTGAAACTGGTGCAGCATGGAGGAGTGTGGACAGAATATGAAATGTGTGTTATAGACTATAACTCCGAAGCACCTGAGACTGAAACAATTGGACTGTTCTTTGTCTGAGGAGCTGAGAATTTAACCGTTATAGGGGTTGCATGAAATGTTTTCTGACACTTATTTTTTATTGTTTTGATGTACACACATTTGCATAAACAACAATTAGGCCACAAACCTACACTATGGAAATGTAGAAGGCTGATAAATGTATAAACAGGGGTTGAGGTCTGGTTGGTAGTGTGTATTACCAGTGATGCAAGTTTTATGGCAGCAGAAAGAATAAGTATGATACACATTGCTTTATGTACAGATGAGGATTTTGTGTGTCTGCTGAGAGGCTGATTTACACTCAGTTGCCACTTTATTAGGTACACATGTACAATCCAGTGCAATCTAATGCAACCGTTTTGGCAGAAAGTCAGGGGCGTAAAAATAGACAGTGCAGACTGTGCAGTTGCACTGGGGCCTGTAACATGGGGGGGCCCATAGAACGAATGGGCCCTCCAACAATGTGTTGAGTGCATGGGCCATTATGGGTGATTGCCAACTTTGAAATTTGCCTGTGTTCAAAGAAGTCTGTATGCCCTTGAAAAAGGTTAACTTTCTTTCTTCTTTCTTCTTTCGTTCTTTTTTGTAAAATAGTCAGTAGCATATGTAAACAAATTATTTATATATAAAGTATTAAAATTGTGTGCACTGGTGCCTGTCGCAACGATCTTACACCACTGCAGAAAGTCATACCTATAATGTTCAGTATTTTTGACAGTGTCATAGAAGTGTTAATTCAGTTCTAAAAAAGTGGCAGCTAAAATTAGTACTTGGATCAAGAACATGGAAAATGACATATATCTTGAAAAATAAATTAAGTATGTGTGAGGGAATATGGTAACAATTTAATGACTTTATAAAATACAGAGATAACATCTGTAATAACATTTGGATATTAAAAAAGCAAAGCAAAAAAAATTTAGCTCTATGTCTTAGCATTAAGGTCTTAATCAGGGATGTTAGTGTACCAGACTGCATTATATTCAAATGTGTTTCTAATATTCCGCCCCGATTTTGTGTGCAAAATTAAAAGACTTAACTTGCTGCAAATTACTATAATAGCACAGGTAAACATTAAAAGTAATTTTCAATAATGCAGATGCAACCCAAAACTATATTTGTCAATCTAAGAATATGATTTAAACACTTCTTCCTGAGACTCCACTGAGCTGTTTGTGCTGATCTTTTCCCACAACATCATACTGACTATGTTTATTCACTCTGGCAGAGAGCAATAAGTCAAAGCTCCAGGATGTATCACGAAACACAGAAGAGAGGAAATTGTTGCATCAACTCTCATAACTAAACATGAAGTGCTACTTTATTCAAATCCTGATTCTATAGTGATTTCATGCCTGTGTACAGTATGTAGTCCATGTGTCAGACAGAG